CCAGACCCTCCAGCTCCAGCTCCTCGAGCGCCAGCACCACCAGCAGCCGCAGAACCTCCAGCGCCAGCACCGCCAGTACCAGCGTCACCAGCAGCAGCACCCCCAGAACCGGCAACTCTAGTCCCAATGTCTCCAGCAGCAGCACCCCCAGACGCAGCACCTCCAGCCCCAGCAGCTCTAGTACCTCCAGTACGAGCACCTCCGGGTCTAGCGGCTCCAGCACCTCCAGCAGACAAAGTACCCGCAGTACTCCCAGCTCCAGTGTCAGCAGCTCCAACAGCACCTCCTGCGGCAGGGTCAGCAGTACCACCAGCTCCAGCGTCCTCAGGCCCAGCGGCTCCAGCGTCGTCGGCACCTCTCGCACCAGCCCCAGTACCCTCTGAACCGGCACCCCCAGCTCCAGGGACGTCAGCAGAAGCGCCTCCAGCGGCAGAGCCCCGAGCTCCAGCAGCGCGACCCTGACCGCGAACGTACCACTCGTGCAGCTGCTGTGGGGAGAGAGACGAACGCGGACGAAGGCGGCCACTCCAAGGAGACCGCGCACAAGCAGTCTCAGTACCCTCAGGCGCCGCACCCCCAGACTCAGCACCCCCAGGCTCCTCACGCTCAGGCTTAGCACCCCCAGACTCAGCACCGCCAGACGCAACACCCCCAGACGTAGTACCTCCAGTCTCCTCACGCTCAGGCTCAGCACCTCCAGGCCTCGCACGCTCAGGCTCAGCACCCCCAGACGCAGCACCCCCAGGCTCAGCACCCCCAGAGACAGCACCCCGAGCAGGACCACCCCCAGCAGGACCTGAGTCACCAGTGACCTCAACAGGCGCAGGCACGGGAGGGTCTACCTGAGAAACACCTGAAGGAGCAGGACCTGGCGCGGGGAGGGGGTCTACCTGGGGAGGACCTGGAGCGAGAAAGAGCGGAGGGGGGGGGCGAGCGGCAGTGCGGTAGGGAAAGAGACGGTAAAAGGGGACCGACTCGTCGAAGGTGACGTCCTGAGACGCAAAGACACGGCGCGAAGCGGGGTCGTAAAACTGCCAGCCAGGCGCGTCAGAAGGAAAACCAAGGAAGACGCAGGGAATGGCGCGAGCGGAGAGCTTGTCCGCGGTGGTATCGCGGACAAAGGCACGAGCACCCCAGACCCGGAAGCGCGACGCATCGCCAACCTCCCCCGTCCACAGTAGTGTGGGCGAGGTCTCCGGCAAGGAGACACGGGGCCAGAGGTTGAGCTGATGCGCGGCGTACCGGACCGCAAACGGCCACAGAAAATGGGGGGCAGCCGCATGGATCATGGAGGTACGAGCGACCTCCATGACTAAGCCAATGCGGCGCTCAGCAACCCCATTCTGCTGCGGAGAGGCCGGAAGCGTGAACGACTGGCGGATGCCGTGCTCCTCACAGAAAGCTCGCAAGAGGTCGGAGGTGAACTCACCACCTCTGTCAGAGTGCAGACGCAGGACAGGAAAGTCCGACTGGAACCGCTCGCGGAGCTGGAGACGAACAGCGCGGATCCAGGGGATCAAAACATCAGGGACCTGACCCTTGCTGCGCAAGGGGAAGACCGTGGTGTAACGCGTGTAGTCGTCGACGACCAGCAGGAAGTACCGCTCGCGGCCCTGCCCCTGGACGCGGGCTGGGCCCCACACGTCCAGGTGGAGAGTCTGCAGTGGAGCCTCTGTGGGAGGGAACGAGGAGGAGTGAGGAGCGGCGCGCTGCTGCCCCTCGACGCAAGGAATGCAGGGCGGCGCAGGCGAGGGAGGGAGGGAGGGCAGATACGTGGGAAGACCAGAGACCAGAAGGCGAGAGTGCATGCCACGAAGGCGAGGCAGGGAGGGGTGACCAAGGCGGTGGTGCCAAAGTAGAGTCTGGTGCGACAGGACCAGAACGGACGCGTACAGCTGAGGAGACACAGGGGTGTAGCGCGACACAGTGGTGAGGGTGTACAGACTGGACCCTGGCGCACGTGTGAACGTGGCAAGGTGGCGGCCAGCCCTAGAGCACGTACAGATCACCACACGCTGTCCTCCAGGAGTAAAGGTGTCAACCCAATGATCCTGAAGGACGGCGTTGCTCACCAGGTTCGTAGAGAACGAGGGGATGTGGAGACCTGACAGCTCACCGGACGGGACCGCCGGACACGGGAGCACAGTACTGGACCGTGCAAGCACTGGGCCCCCAGAGGGGTCAGCCAGTGAGACAGGGACAGGTGCAGGGAGGGGAGTGACTGTGGTGCTGTCGCGAAAGAAACAGCGGGAAGCACCTGAGTCAAGCGTGAAGGTGTGCAAAGCCTCAGCAGGCGCAGTACCAGGGAGAGCAGACTCACTAGCACCTAGGGCTGCAGTCTCTATACCTGGGTCAGGTGGCACACACAAGTAGCAGTCACCCTCAGCACTAACAGTCAATGCATACATAGCAGCAAGAATCGCATCATAGTCAAGATCAAAGATAGGAACATCACGCCTAAGCAGGTCTGCCCAGTTGGGGAACTCAGTAGCATCAGGAAACCTGGCGCTCCAGGTGTCGCTAAGCCTAGCGAAACAGCGGTACTCAGTGTGAAAACCGTTGCATGGGCGACCAGCGCGGGGACCGGCGCGAATGACATAGGGGCAGCGACCAGGACCCCCAGACGCCCCACGCTGAGCGTACCAGTCATGAAGCTGCTGAGACGTGGGGGTCTGGCGCTGACGCTGCTGCTGCTGCTGCTGCTCCTGGGCACCACTGGAGCTCCCCTTCGGGCCGGCTGCACTCCAGTCCCCACCTCCGCCACCACTACCGCTGCCTCCTCCCCCACTACCGCCGCTGCCTCCTCCACCGCCCCCGGTCCCACCGCCGCCCCACCCACCGCCTCCACCCCCACGGCCACCCCCACCACCTCCACCACCCCCGCCGCCTCCACCACCGCTCCGTCCACCGCCACCTCCACCACCCTTGCCACCCTTGCCGCCCTTGGTGCCGCTGCGCTTCCCACTAGGAGCGGAAGCAGCTGCGACCTTCTCAGCACCGAGGAGGTCGACGGCAGCAGCAGCAGAGGCGTAGGAGGGGGCAAGAGGGGAGGGGGAGCATCCCTCAAAGAGGGGAGTGCGAGGAGTGCCACGAGCAGCACCTACAGCGAGGATGTTCTTTTCTGCTGCTAGGAGCTGCTGCTCGAAGTCGGCTAGAGTGAGAGTGGTAGGGTCTTTGGCGAGGAAGTGGTCCCTGACTGAACTGAGAGTGTCAGGGAGGCGGGTGACGAGGATGTAGAGGGTAAAGTACAACGGGGGGGGGTTCTTGGCGAGGAAGTCGTCTGTAAGGGCGGCACGAAAGCGAGCGTCACTAGCGCGGAGGTGAGAGATAAGGTCCTCAGCGGTGGCAAACGAGGACAGGTCTGGGAACAGGTAGGGCAGGATGAGACGACCTACGGCTGCAGTGGCTGGGGACGAATAGCGCGCAACTACAGCGTCATACAGTGCCTTAGCAGTCTTGTGCTGGCTAAAATGCGCGCGCTCAGTGATCGGCAGATGGTTGCGAATAGCAAGGCGCGCAGCAGCATCGCGAGTCTGCCACTGTGAGCGGTCAAGAGCGGGAGCAGTGTCAGCAGGAGCAACGGCAGTGCCAGACGCGTGATCGAACAGTGAAACGCCGTCTTTTGCATCAGTCATAAGAAACAGTTGCAGGTCGTCGAGCCAAGTGGCAAACTCAATCGGGCGACCGTCAGGCTCAAACGCGAGAACATTAAGCGTCGCCATAATCGCAGCGTAGGCGAAGGCAGCAGGCAAAAGCAGTAGGCGAAGGCAGCAGGCACAGGCAGCAGGCACAGGCAGCAGGCAAAGGCAGCAAGCACTGGCAGTAGGCAAGGGCGGCGCGCAAAGCAGCCGCAAGCGGTGGGCAATGTGCTGGCAGCGCAGGCAGTGCGCGGAGCAGCAGCGGGCCGCGCGCAGGCTGCAGAGGCGCGGCGCGGGCAGGTAGGGCGGCGCGCGGGGCTGCAGCGGGCCGCGCGCGGGCTGCCACGGCGCGGCGCGAGCTGCGTAGGCGGCGCGCGGGGCTGCAGCGGGCCGCGCGCGGGCTGCCGTGGCTTGGCGCGGGCTGCGCAAGCGGCGCGCGGGGCAGCAGCGGGCCGCGCGTGAGCTGCCAGGGCGTGGCGCGAGCAGCTAGGGCGATGCGCGGGGCAGCAGCGAGCGAAGCGCGGGCTGCCGAGGCGCGACGCGAGCAGCGAGGGCGACGCGCGGGGCAAAAACGGGCAGCGCGCGGGAATCAGGGTTGCGCGCGCGAAGCAGCGGCAGACAGCTCAGACAGCAGACAACACGCAGTAGGCAGACGGCGCGCGCAGCGCAGCACGTCACAGTCACAGTCACAGTCGTGGGGTAGCGGTAGGTGGGCCCGAAAAAAAAAAAAAAGACGGTCCTACGGACCTACTGCTCTGAAACCATGTCAGAAGTCTAGGCAGGAATGAATGAACTATCAGGAAGGTGGGTACAAATAGAAACCCTAACATTGGGCTGTACCCCATATGGGCTACCCCACTACAGCCTACAGACTATACTACAGCATACATATATATATATATAGTTTTACACGACCAAGTAGGTATCGTCCGCGTATGAGGTAATGAAGATAGAGGGAGACTTAAAAACTTAACACCTCACAAATTATTTGGCAGTTTTATCTTTGAATTTCAGCAGATTGTCCACGATCTATTGCCACTATTGCTACATCATATACCGTGGGCCGATGGTTCGTGAGAAAACAATCTAATCACCGCCTTTCTTCATTTATCCGCTTAAGTAGGTCCTCAATATGATACTCCATTGCTGTTACCGTATTGCTCCACAATCTACCATGGGTCGTGCACTGGCGGATGGTTGATAGGAAGGCAATCACTCTAATCTAATCACCGCCTTTCTTCATTTATCCGCTTCAGCAGGTCCTCAATATGATACTCCATTGCTGTTACCGTATTGCTCCGCAATCTACCATGGGTCGTGCACTGACGGATGGTTGATAGGAAGGCAATCACTCTAATCTAATCACCGCCTTTCTTCATTTATCCGCTTAAGAAGGTCCTCAATACTGCACTCCATCGCCATTACTGCTGAGTCGTCTAACATGGCCCGATCACTGGCAGATACGGAAAAATGGGTGTTCATGGGGGAATAAGGTTTGGAAAAGAGGGAAACGGGGCAAGGAAATAATGAATGGGCGAGCCTATAAGTGCAGAATCATCTACCATGGCTTGGCTGCTGACAGATGAGCACAAAGAGGTAGCTCTACCAGTGGGAGAGAGGGGATAGGGGGTGGGGGACGAGGAAAGGAGGCAAAGAAAGGAAGGCAGGATGAACAAGTGGCTATACGGATGGGAACAGGCATGCACTGTTTGCAGGATGGCGGGACAACGTGAATGACCATGTGCACGACAACTACACAAGGGTTGCGATGGCTCACTCACTCATGCCGGCAAAGGGAGGAAGGCGGGATGAGCAAGTGGCTATACGGATGGGAACAGGCATGCACTGTTTGCAGGATGGCGGGACAACGTGAATGACCATGTGCACGACAACTACACAAGGGTTGCGATGGCTCACTCACTCATGCCGGCAAAGGGAGGAAGGCGGGATGAGCAAGTGGCTATACGGATGGGAACAGGCATGCACTGTTTGCAGGATGGCGGGACAACGTGAATGACCATGTGCACGACAACTACACAAGGGTTGCGATGGCTCACTCACTCATGCCGGCAAAGGGAGGAAGGCGGGATGAGCAAGTGGCTATACGGATGGGAACAGGCATGCACTGTTTGCAGGATGGCGGGACAACGTGAATGACCATGTGCACGACAACTACACAAGGGTTGCGATGGCTCACTCACTCATGCCGGCAAAGGGAGGAAGGCGGGATGAGCAAGTGGCTATACGGATGGGAACAGGCATGCACTGTTTGCAGGATGGCGGGACAACGTGAATGACCATGTGCACGACAACTACACAAGGGTTGCGATGGCTCACTCACTCATGCCGGCAAAGGGAGGAAGGCGGGATGAGCAAGTGGCTATACGGATGGGAACAGGCATGCACTGTTTGCAGGATGGCGGGACAACGTGAATGACCATGTGCACGACAACTACACAAGGGTTGCGATGGCTCACTCACTCATGCCGGCAAAGGGAGGAAGGCGGGATGAGCAAGTGGCTATACGGATGGGAACAGGCATGCACTGTTTGCAGGATGGCGGGACAACGTGAATGACCATGTGCACGACAACTACACAAGGGTTGCGATGGCTCACTCACTCATGCCGGCAAAGGGAGGAAGGCGGGATGAGCAAGTGGCTATACGGATGGGAACAGGCATGCACTGTTTGCAGGATGGCGGGACAACGTGAATGACCATGTGCACGACAACTACACAAGGGTTGCGATGGCTCACTCACTCATGCCGGCAAAGGGAGGAAGGCGGGATGAGCAAGTGGCTATACGGATGGGAACAGGCATGCACTGTTTGCAGGATGGCGGGACAACGTGAATGACCATGTGCACGACAACTACACAAGGGATGCGATGGCTCACTCACTCATGCTGGCAAAGGGAGGAAGGCGGGATGAGCAAGTGGCTATACGGATGGGAACAGGCATGCACTGTTTGCAGGATGGCGGGACAACGTGAATGACCATGTGCACGACAACTACACAAGGGATGCGATGGCTCACTCACTCATGCCGGCAAAGGGAGGAAGGCGGGATGAGCAAGTGGCTATACGGATGGGAACAGGCATGCACTGTTTGCAGGATGGCGGGACAACGTGAATGACCATGTGCACGACAACTACACAAGGGTTGCGATGGCTCACTCACTCATGCCGGCAAAGGGAGGAAGGCGGGATGAGCAAGTGGCTATACGGATGGGAACAGGCATGCACTGTTTGCAGGATGGCGGGACAACGTGAATGACCATGTGCACGACAACTACACAAGGGTTGCGATGGCTCACTCACTAATGCCGGCAAAGGGAGGAAGGCGGGATGAGCAAGTGGCTATGCGGATGGGAACAGGCATGCACTGTTTGCAGGATGGCGGGACAACGTGAATGACCATGTGCACGACAACTACACAAGGGTTGCGATGGCTCACTCACTCATGCCGGCAAAGGGAGGAAGGCGGGATGAGCAAGTGGCCATGCGGATGGGAACAGGCATGCACTGTTTGCAGGATGGCGGGACAACGTGAATGACCATGTGCACGACAACTACACAAGGGTTGCGATGGCTCACTCACTCATGCCGGCAAAGGGAGGAAGGCGGGATGAGCAAGTGGCTATGCGGATGGGAACAGGCATGCACTGTTTGCAGGATGGCGGGACAACGTGAATGACCATGTGCACGACAACTACACAAGGGTTGCGATGGCTCACTCACTCATGCCGGCAAAGGGAGGAAGGCGGGATGAGCAAGTGGCTATGCGGATGGGAACAGGCATGCACTGTTTGCAGGATGGCGGGACAACGTGAATGACCATGTGCACGACAACTACACAAGGGTTGCGATGGCTCACTCACTCATGCCGGCAAAGGGAGGAAGGCGGGATGAGCAAGTGGCTATGCGGATGGGAACAGGCATGCACTGTTTGCAGGATGGCGGGACAACGTGAATGACCATGTGCACGACAACTACACAAGGGTTGCGATGGCTCACTCACTCATGCCGGCAAAGGGAGGAAGGCGGGATGAGCAAGTGGCTATGCGGATGGGAACAGGCATGCACTGTTTGCAGGATGGCGGGACAACGTGAATGACCATGTGCACGACAACTACACAAGGGTTGCGATGGCTCACTCACTCATGCCGGCAAAGGGAGGAAGGCGGGATGAGCAAGTGGCTATGCGGATGGGAACAGGCATGCACTGTTTGCAGGATGGCGGGACAACGTGAATGACCATGTGCACGACAACTACACAAGGGTTGCGATGGCTCACTCACTCATGCCGGCAAAGGGAGGAAGGCGGGATGAGCAAGTGGCTATGCGGATGGGAACAGGCATGCACTGTTTGCAGGATGGCGGGACAACGTGAATGACCATGTGCACGACAACTACACAAGGGTTGCGATGGCTCACTCACTCATGCCGGCAAAGGGAGGAAGGCGGGATGAGCAAGTGGCTATGCGGATGGGAACAGGCATGCACTGTTTGCAGGATGGCGGGACAACGTGAATGACCATGTGCACGACAACTACACAAGGGTTGCGATGGCTCACTCACTCATGCCGGCAAAGGGAGGAAGGCGGGATGAGCAAGTGGCTATGCGGATGGGAACAGGCATGCACTGTTTGCAGGATGGCGGGACAACGTGAATGACCATGTGCACGACAACTACACAAGGGTTGCGATGGCTCACTCACTCATGCCGGCAAAGGGAGGAAGGCGGGATGAGCAAGTGGCTATGCGGATGGGAACAGGCATGCACTGTTTGCAGGATGGCGGGACAACGTGAATGACCATGTGCACGACAACTACACAAGGGTTGCGATGGCTCACTCACTCATGCCGGCAAAGGGAGGAAGGCGGGATGAGCAAGTGGCTATACGGATGGGAACAGGCATGCACTGTTTGCTGCGTTGCAGGACAACACTTACTATATATGCAAAAACAAGGGATCCAATGGATCACAAAGATTCAGCAAGACTCAGCACGCTGCGGAAACACGTGACGCGTGTGCTGAAATCAGCAAGACTCCATGGCGTGACTTTTAGAGTGCCTCTGAAATCACTGGCTCCATGGCACGCCAAGATTTGTTTTGCAGACGCCTTAGAAACAATTTACTAGAACGTGGCAAAACAAGGGCCCCAAAGGCACACTATGATTCAGCAAGACTCAGCAGAATGCAGCAACACATGGTGTGTGCATTAACCAAGGGTTCCAAATCCGCGCACACAAATAGAGCTCTTCCCACCAACAGAGCTCTTCCCACAAACAGAGCTCTTCCCACAAACAGAGCTCTTCCCACAAACAGAGCTCTTCCCACACAGAGCTCTTCCCACAAACAGATCTCTTCCCACAAACAGAGCTCTTCCCACAAACAGAGCTCTTCCCACAAACAGAGCTCTTTCCACAAACAGAGCTCTTCCCACAAACAGAGCTCTTCCCACAAACAGAGATCTTCCCACAAACAGAGCTCTTCCCACATACAGCCCACGTACAGTACAACTCCACAACATGGCATGCACACACCTACCAAGGACTGAAAGACCACACCTGTTGTGTATCGGCTCATGGTCTAGAGCTGAGCGCACCTTCTCTTTAAGGCTAAGTGCCAAGCAGGGGAGTCTAGGCCGCACCTGTTGTGAATGGGTTCATGGTCTACTGCTGAGCGCACCACATACAGAGCTCTCCCCACCATATCCCTCACATGCGCTAGCCCAAGCGTGCGGCTGTGTAGAGCCTCCTTAAGAAGACTGCACACCAGCCAATGATTGAAAGGCCAAACCTGTTGTGTATGGGTTCATGGTCCAGTGCTGAGCGCACCTGTTCTGTCAGAGCTAAGGAAAAAGGGCTAAGCAAGTTATAAGAAAACGCACCTGTTGTGTATGGGTTCGTGGTCCAGTGCTGAGCGCACCACGTACAGAGCTCTCCCCACCATGTCCCTCACGTGCACAGGACCAAGAGTGCGGCTGTCTAGGGCCTCCTGGGAGGGAGGAGACAGAGAGGAAAGGAGAGGAGGATACGGCAAGAAAAAGTTTTCAGACAAGAGGCAGAGAAGGAGTAGGAACTCTGGGGTGCTGTTCTTTCAAGTCTCACGTTCTCGGGACCAAGAGTGCGGCTGTCTGGGTCCTCCTGGGAGGGGGAGGAAATAGATGGAGTGAATGAGGGGGGAAAGATTTTGGGGAAGAGAAAAGGCAGTGAATGAGTGGGAGGTTAGAGGCTGCTGTCCTCTCAAGTCTCACGTGCATGGGACCAGGGGTGCAGCTGTCTGGGTCCTCCTGGGAGGGAGAGGAAATAGATGGAGTGAATGAAGGGGTAAGATTTTAGGGAAGAGAAAAGGCAGAGAATGAGTAGGGGGGTTCGGCGCTGCTGTCCTCTCAAGTCTCATGAGCACGGGACCAAGCGCGCGGCTGTCTAGGATCTCCTGGGAGGGAGAGAAATAGATGGAGTGAATGAAAGGGCAGAGATTTCTTAAGGAAAATTGAAGGAAAGGAACAGCCCAAAACCCTTGAAAACTTACATTCAGCATAACATGCCCCTACCATTCCCTCTTCCAGCATTGTTGGGGTTGCTTCTGACAAATTTCAAAAGCATTCAACATGCCCCTACCATTGCCTACTCCAGCAACTCTACGCACAGAGCCCTTCAACCCTAGCTGCTCCAATAACGTGACTTTTGAGCCGACTCAAAGTCACCTCGTTACAATGGCATTCAACATGCCCCTACCATTGCCCATCAACAAGCACCCAAAACTGGTCTTTCACTCTTGAACACACCTTTGCAGGAACAGCTGGGTCGTCTGCAAGCACCCAGAACTGCTTCTTCTCTATCCGGAACGGCGCATCCGACGGCTGAGATGACACCATCTCGTCTCCCTCAACGGCTGCGACTCGTCGAAAAACAACTGGGAATGGAGTGGCAGAGGCGGCAGGAGAAGCAGATGCAGAAGCAGACGCAGCAGAAACACGTTCTGGGTCGACTTGGAATCCCACAATGTCTCCAACGGAAACGGTGCTGCCACGGGGGAGAGCCACGGGGAATTGGGAAGGGTTTATAAGAAGAGGGGACACTTCTGTGTCAGACGTTCTGAGTCAGCTCAAAACGAAACGCGCGTGGGGCCGACTAGGAACCCCACCACGGCTCCAACGGAAACGGTGCTGCCACGGGGGAGAGCAAGAGGGGTTGAAAAGGGCTTATAAGGACAGGAGGTTGATTGTGGGGCGCCTCAAAAGCAGAAACACGCGTGGTGTGTGGACTAGGAACCCCACCACGGCTCCAACATAAACGGTGCTGCCAGGGGGGGAGAGCAAGGGGGACATAAAAAAAGACTTACAAAAGGAAACAGGGGGTTGGGTAGGCCTTATGAGAAAGCAATGGGCGGCACACTCAATGCCAAATGGGCGGCACACTCACTGCCAAATGGGCGGCACACTCACTAACTGCAATTTGGGGCGGCACACTCACAGCCAAGGGGGCGGCATTAGAAGCCGGCAGAGCACCCACTCATCCTTCCTCCCCCTTATAGTCGGCTTCATTGACTCGTCTCCTACCACAGAAGGCTTCAAAGACGTCATATATGATTTCTCATACTGCATCATCCTGTTGAGAGTCCACACAAGCTTGCCAATGGGGGGCAGCTGCCCTTGATGCTGCTCCATGTGGGTCTGACATGAGGCAGGGGGGATGGGCAGGAGCGAGGGAGAAAGCTATGTGAGGGCCAGTCAGCCTGGCAGGGGGAGAGGCGCCAGTAGGTTGCCAATGGTGCGGAATCTGTTCTTTGGGAATTCTCAAGAGGAGGGCGTCAGGGATGCCTGCCATCGATCAATGTGAGAGCTCTCTGGGAATTCTCATGCTGCACGATCCTGTTGAGAGCTCTCACTAGCTTGGTGATGGGGGCAGCTCCCATGTGGGTCTGGCATGTGGCACAGGAAGTGAGTAACAGAGAAGACTTCAGGGATGCCATCGATCATTTCTCACGCTGCACGATCCTGTTGAGAGCTCTCACTAGCTGCCCTTGATGCTGCTCCTGGGCTCCATGTGGGCCTGCAATAAGTCGAGAGGGAAATGAGCAAGAGCGTGGGCGAGAGGCATGGATCAACTGGCAAGAAAGCATGGAGGATAGAGTGATCTCAGCACTCACACGCACGAGCACTCGCACATCGTACTCACTCTCTCACACCAGCACTCACTCACACCAGCACTCACTCACACCAGCACTCACTCACAGCAGCACTCTCTCACGCCCGCACTCTCTCACACCCGCACTCTTTAACAGCATCAACTCTCTCACAGAATCACTCTCTCACCACAGCACTCACGCGCACGAGGAAGAAACTGTACAGGGAGCACTTTTGAGTCACGTATTTCAGCCGCATCAGCCATGACGCCATCGCGCCTTCTGCTCTGCTTTGCCCCGCTCCGCTCGCTCGCTCACACGGAAATGAACCCTCCTGTTACTAATACTGGCTTCGCTGCTCGTCAGGTCAGCTCGGGCTGGTGGTTACGCGTCGGCTGGTGGTTACACGTCGTCTGGTGGTTACACGTCGTCTTGTGGTTACACGTCGTCTGGTGGTTACACGTCGTCTGGTAGTTACACGTCGTCTGGTGGTTACACGTCGTCTGGTTGTTACGCGTCACCTGCTAATTCAAGACGGCAGCGGTTGAAACCGCTCAACGGAATGATCCTCGAATCGCATTCACGAGCACGCGAAAGCAGCAAGAGTAACTCTGCCGGATTCACGAGCACGCGAAAGCAGCGAAGCAGGCGACGCGGCTTCGACGCCGAGTGGCTCTAGTGCACTCTGTCGGATCTTACACTGTATCTGATCGTGCAACGTGTCTAATCGTATGAGTGAAAACCGCTAACCAATGTCGAGAACAAGCGATGTGACCACGATGATAACAGTGACGGCAAATCCTCGTGATAAAGAGTTGCTTCTGAGACGGCTCAAAGACGATACTGACGGCCAAGCCTCAGATTCTAGGGTTTCTACAGAGAAAGATTGGGTGACGATCGCGTGTTGCATCTACCCGCTACAAGAAACGAGCAGCGCGGATTGGGACTACTGCACCCCCCGCTACTCGAACAGCCAAGGACAGATGGAGAAGCGAGAGAGCATAGAAAGAGGTGTAAGGTGTTCTACCCTTTATCGTCCCCTCTTTCTAAGGTATGTGGATGGTGGGATGGCTGGAGGAGCCATGTCTACCTAGTTTGCTACGAATAGTAAGGAAAAATCTACCAGCGGATCGATGCGAGGGCGCGTTCATAATGTCATCCGGCTGTGGCGGTGTATTTCGTTGCAGTTGGAATTGGGGAGGCAACCCTCATTGTTCTCCTGGGAGTTTCGCAAATGACGGGTGGCAGGAAATGAGAGAGAATTTTGCTCAATCCCGCGGAAGCGCGGTTTAATTTATTTTTGCTAGGTGGCGAGCCTATGATCGCGTGAACCGCGATCTGTTTTATTGTTATCACAAACTTCAAGAGAAATTTAGTTAAGTTCTGTACTGCGCTGCCCGCGCGCAAAAATAAAACCCCTATAGGTAAGGCATGCGTTAGGGATGCATCAACCCTAAGGACGCGGCACCTGTTTGCATTTTGCCAAGATCGGGGGAAGATCGGGGCCTCACATCGATCCTGGCACATCGATCAGCACACCGATGTGCCCACACTGCAGATTTGCAGTGGGGTAGATACATCGAGCTTTAGGTGCCAGGATCGAAATCGCAGGATCGGGCAGGTTGGAGCCGCGTCGGAATGCACAAAAATACTGCAACGCGCAGCCAATCAGGGCAGAGCGTGGTTGGTCGCCCAGCAATTTCATTCGCAACGACTTGGGATTTTCTTGTCTGCGACCGTGGGCGACACTGATTGATTGCGGCTGTCACCTGTGGCGCGATTTGCTCTCCCGCCAACTTCAACGCAAGGTCGATGTGTCAACCATGGCACATCGATCGTGCGAGTTGTAGGTACCAGGCACTAACGACGTCGCAAATACACTGTAGAATCGGCACATCGACCCCCTCCAACGATCGATCCTGCTTTGGGGCAAACAGGTGCCGCGTCCTAAACACCTACAGGCAAGGTGTTTAGGGTTGATGCCTCCCTAACGCATGCCAGGCCCAAATGGGTTTTATTTTTGCCCGCGGGCAGCACAGTACAGAACTTAACTAATTTTTTGTTAAAGTTTGTGATAACAATAAAACAGATCGCGGTTCACGCGATCGAAGGCATGCCACGTGGCGATAATAAAACGAACCGTGATTTCGCGGGATTGAGCAAAACTCTCGAAATGAGAAGAAAGCCGGCAATAACGACGGTCGTGAAGGCTAATGTTCCTGCTTTACGAGCACGCTTACTCAAATTCTCGAAAATTGGCTCAAATTCGACACAGTTCGCTATATGGAAGTGCCCAAGGCCAGAGTGGAACAACGGACAAAGAACAAGGCCGTAGATTCGTTTCTCCAGTGAACCCGCATTACGAGTCGCAGCGGTGTACGGTAAGGTATGATTGTTTGTTCTGGGTTTTCAGGAGGCATTTCGGACGGCGTAAGGCAGATCTAGACCGCGTAGCCTGTGTGAGTCGCCGACCTGTGAACAATTTGACTGCCGACAACGTAGAGTGAGCGAGTAAGTAAGCTCGGAACCATCAAAGTTGTGACGACACCGAGCGAGCAGCGAGGGTTGCGCAGGGTGGAGCGAGTAAGAATGGCCGGAATGCCACGTGGCGCTGAGTTTAGAAGCTGGGCGCGCCGGTGCTGCGGGAGAGAGGAGCAGGAGCTTACGAGCCGCGAGCGAGTGGAGGTGGGTAGCGGCGGAGCAGAGATAGGGGGTGAGGGAGAAAGGGAGGGAGGGAGAAAGGGAGTGAGGGAGAAAGGGAGTGAGAGAGTGAGTGAGGAAGCTCTTGACGGAGCGCTCCAGAAAACACAAGACGACTGTTAGTGATGGAGAGACAGATTATGCTACGGTAGTATCTGAGGCGACAGTGTGTGCGGCCTGAGGTGGTCGTCGCGACTCGCGAGGACCACCGGCAGGAGGCGAGGCCTAGTAGTTCCTCCAGTCGGCGCACGTGCGATGCGTGAGGGATGCAACGTTTTGAGAATACCGCGACGGACCTTTGAGGCTCCTCGAATTTCGGTTGTGCACACTGCTGCTACACAGCAACGCATCAGTTACCGTACAACACCCAACCCAACCACACACGCACGTGTCCTCATGTAGATCCCTCCCGTTACAACCACTCCGTCACAATGGGTCCCCTCAGCGATCTAGAGTACCTTCTCGAACCTTCGTCGTTCGCGCTTGTCGCAACCGCGCTCGTCGTCGTCCTCCTCTCCGCGTTCCGCGCGCTCGCGCACGACCGCGAATCGGAGCGCCACCGCGACTTGTCCGCTTCCGCCATAACCCTAGACGCGAACCGCGCACTGCTGCTCCCGTTGGCGAGTTCTGCGTCGCTCGTGCTCATGTTTTACCTCGGTTTCGCAGCCTGGTTACCGCGTTCGCGCCGTCGCGTCCGCGACCTGTTTCGCGTTGTCCCCGTTAGTAGCGTGGTTGAATACGTCGCAAGGGCTGCAAGACCCACTGATTACTGTTCGTTTCCCGTCGTGTTCGCTATGGAGTGGCCAACGCAGCAACAACAGCAGCAACATCAAGAGCAGCATGGCGACGGTAGCAGCACCTCATTGCTAGGTGACAGCGTGAGAGGGCGAGGGACCCGAAGCAGCACAAACAGCAGTAGCAGCGACGGGAACAACAGGAGCAGAAGAAACTTTGCTGCTGGCATAACGACACCAGCCCAACCAGCACTGGCAGCAGCACCATCACCACCGGCACCACCAGCGGCACCAGCAGCAGCAACCCTATGTTTCCACCATCACCCCCAGCACTGACAGCAGCGACAACACGGTATTGGGAGCGGTGACTCGCACGGAGCTGCTGCTGGGAGCGCTGAGTGGCGTGCTGGTGCTCAGCTGGCTGGTGTCGGGGCGCTGGCTGCTCAACATCGCCCTCGGCGCCGCCATCTGTGTTGCTTTCGTGAGCCACGTGCGGCTTCCGAATGTGAAGGTGAGATGGTGATGCATTGCTATAGCAGCAGGATGGCAGGTAACAGGTAACAGCGTATCAACGCTGGTGCGGGGAGTGCCGAGTTGGGTGCTGGTGCTGGCGTCGTTGGTGTCGATCGGGGGCACTAGCTGCTCAACAACAAATATGGGTGGCATTTGGAAGCACTTGCACCTGACCAGGCCCGACCAGGACAGAGGACAGGAGGCCTTATTGTCAAGATAACAAGCAGGAATGAGTTCTGGGTACAAGTACTAACCC